GCCCTTTCCTGCAGATTTGCCCACAAGAGCAGAACCGCTCGCCGGCTCCTCACTTTTGCCTCTGGCTCTGCTGGCCTGTGAGCTGGTGGGCAAGGATGGATGTGATGGCCCTTGGTGGGACGAAAGGGAGATGTCTGAAATATTTGTGCTTGGGGCATGGAGACGGATGGAGAGCTGGGCTGTGGGTATTTTTGTGCACCTGTGATTCACATGCTGGGTGCCCACATCGTGCTGCAGCTCAGTAAATTAATCCTGTGGGTTATCCAGCCTTCCTCTTCTTGCCGCTCTCTCCGAGTTTAGCTGTGCAAATGGGGTTTTTTTTAGAAATGGGCTGCACCGGTGACAGCTCATAAAAGTACAGATGTGGACCCGTGTTTTCATCCTGCCCTTTTGCAGGCTCTAGTGGGCAAATCCCGCTTTAATATTCTGGGCAGGAGAGGAGCAGCTGTGAAAGCCATTTGATTGCTTCTCCAGGTGGAACCCCGGGAAACTTCCAGCCAGATGCCTTCCTCCCCCGGCTGCAGGGATGGATGCGTGCATGCTGAGGGGTTGGGGGGGACCAGTGGGTGAGGGGGGCGAGCTGCAGGAAAACAGCTGGTACCCAGGGGTTGCGAAAAGCGCTGCAAAGGCATCGGCTCAGTGGGATTTGGGGTATTCTGCTCCCTGGGTGCCCTTGGGATTGCTTCGCAAAGGGGGTGCATGTCGCCTCCACAGGGGTTTGAGCATCTGAGCATCTTTTTTACTCTCAGAGAGAAAACATTTGGTAATGCATAAATGAGCGTAGATCGAAAATTAAATATGCTGAACGTGAAGGGTTTTGCTTTTTGCATATTCCCTGTCACGTTCAAGTAACCTGCTCCGTTGCCCTGCATTATGTCCATGATGTTCAGTTGCCAGGAAAGCCATTAAGCAGGCATCACCTTCCACCTCCCCTGGTGTAAATCAGGGTAATTAATTAGCCCGGCTGATGAGGTGGTATACGGGGCAGAGTTAGGCTGCCCGGCCTCCTGGCTCCTCATGAGTGGGTCACTTTGCCTTGCTGGCAGTTTTGGCTGGCCCAGCATCACCACAGCTCAGGGTCCAGCCCACCCTTCTGGCTCAGCTCCCCAGGGCCCCACCACTTCCCATGCCAAGCAGCTCTGTGCTAACCTTCTTCTAACCTTCGTCCTTCCCTATATTTTTTTTTCCCCAGCAGAAGAAAATTACACTTCCCCAGTGTTGTCTGTCACCGCAGTAAGCACTTACAAGTGCAATTGTATGGGGCCAAATGAAGGGAATTAGTTTTGCCTGCACTTTGTGGCACTGTCAGGCCCCCTGTAAATCATTGTCTCATCACCAGCCAATCCAGGTACATGGAAAATGTCTTTCTGGGCTCTGCACTCACACCAGGCACTTAGGGATTAATGGGTCCTAGGGGTTCAGAGGTCGTGGGCACAGAAGTAATAGCTGGGAGGTTGAGGACCATCTTGTACCAGGTGACGCAGAGGATGCTCAAAGCACTCATGGATTTTGGGAGAGAGGACCCAGGGCTCTTGTTGGCCAGCCCTGGCTGCTCTTTGGGGGTTTGCCGCTGCAACTCGCAGCCACCCGGGCTGGTAGCAGGTGTTAGGATGGGGAACTAATACCATTATTAATTTCCTGAGGGAAGCTGGGGTGGGCAGGCAGTAGATTAACCCACCTCCTCGCCAGATGTTTCCATTCAGAAGAGCAGCCAGGCTCTGGCTAGGATGGGGCACCTTCATAGATGTCATCCCTGGTGTCCTATAAGGAGTAAGATGCACTGCAGAGGGGGCTTGGCCCTCCAGGAGCAGGTACCGTTCACTCAGCAGGCATCTCTCCTGGCAGATTTTGGTAGGTTTGTTCCATTTTGCTGAACGCAATTGCAATGCGTATGAAGAGTAAATTGCAACTTAGCAGTGGAGAGGAAAACTGGGAAAATTAGTAGGTCTGAAAGGCTGGCTCCACCAGTGCACCCTTCGGCTGGTGTAAAGCAGCAGGAATTGGTGTTGGTACCAGCGCTGTTTAACATCTTTGATGGTGACACGGACAGTGGGATCGATGCACCCTCAGCAAGTTCACTGACAACCCCGAGCTGTGTGGTGGGGGACACGCGGGAGGGCAGGGATGGCACCCAGAGGGACCTGGGCAGGCTGGAGAGGGGGGCCCGGGCAAACCTCATGGGTTCAACAAGGCCAAGGGCAAGGTCCTGCCCGTGGGTCGGGGCAATCCCAGCACAAACCCAGGCTGGGCCCTCGAGGAGCGGCTGGAGAGCAGCCCCAAGGAGAGGGGCTGGGGGGGTTGGTGGGGGGAAAACTGCCCGTGAGGCAGCCCGTGCGCTGGCAGCCCAGAACCCACCCGTGCCCTGGGCTGCAGCCAGAGCAGGGGGGGCAGCAGGGCCGGGGGGGGATTCTCCCCCTCTGCTCCGCTCTGGGGAGACCCCCCTGCAGTGCTGGGGCCAGCTCGGGGGCCCCCAACAGCAGAAGGACCCGGAGCTGCTCGAGCGGGGCCAGAGGAGGCCACGGAGATGCTGGGGGGGCTGGAGCAGCTCCCCTGGGGGGCCGGGCTGAGAGAGTTGGGGGGGTCAGCCTGGAGAAGAGAAGGCTCCGGGGAGCCCTTCGAGCGGCCTCCCAGGGCTTAAAGGGGGGACAGGAGAGGGGGGGAGGGACTCTTTTTTAGGGAGTTAAGTGGTAGGATGAGGGGTAACGGTTTTAAACTGAAAGAGGGCAGATTTAGATTAGAAGAAACGTAAGGAATAAATTCTTCCCTGTGCGGGGTGAGGCGCTGGCCCAGGGTGCCCAGAGCAGCTGTGGCTGCCCCCTCCCTGGAAGGGTTCAAGGCCAGGTTGGACGGGCTGGGAGCACCCTGGGCTGGGGGAAAGGGGTCCCTGCCCATGACGGGGAGGTGGGAACTAGATGGGCTTTAAGGTCCCTTCCAACCCAAATCTAGCTGTGATTCTATAAATTACCACTTGAGCTGGGGAAGCCTTTGGGGAGAAAAAAAATAATTAAACCTCGTTAGTTTTCATGCCTTTTTCTCTCTGCCACCCCATGGTGTGTCAGGTAAGCAGCACACAGGGGTAAAGTGGTTTGATGTGCTCAAGCTCCTACTCTGCTGTCAAGGGTAATCAAGGCCATCGATAAATCAGGGAGGTTTCAGGAATGGGTTGTGTTCCGTGCCAGTCCTAAAATACAGCCTTTTGATGGTATCTGGACATAAAATGTGTCTTTGACCCTGCTTTTTCACAGGCCTGTTGGTGTCTAAGTAATCCAGACAGGACTCAATTTAGAAAATATACTGGGGGTGAAGAAGGATATTTTGGGGCTTGCATTCCACTTTCCTCACCTAAAAATAAAATTTTCTGCTCCTTTTTCCTGCTGCCGCTCATGCATATTTTATATATTCATTAGAGGAAAGACTTTAAAACATGCATAAATCTTGCCTTGCTCATCCAGAGCTGACACGCTGCGTTTCGCGCACCTTCCCCGGAAGGTGCTGGTTGCTCACCCGTGACCAGCCCACCCCAGCCCACTCGGCAGCTGGCGGTGGTGGACGTGCGTCCAGCCCAGCAGCTTGGCTGGGAGCCGGCACCGCAGCATCCCGAGAGGCAGCAGCCCATCCATGGGGTTGCACCCCAGAAGGGCTATCCAGCAGGAGCTGCTGGCAGAAAGCAAGGTCTAAATCCCTTTTCTTGCTTTCCCAGGTCTGTTTTTTAGCCTGGGGAGGGGAGTTTTGAAGCAGGATAGGTTTTTATTTCTCTCCCCGCAGCCCCGGGTGTACTGTCAGCCTTGAATGTGCAACGAACGGTAAGGGCTGTGCGTGCAGGTCCTGGCTCTTGGGCTTCACAGGGGCTGCAAGAATTGTCCGTGAAGACCTTGTAAGGAACTGAAGGAATTAATGCTTCAAACATGCGTCGACACGGAAAACTTGTGACAAGCTGTGGCCTTTGTGATTAGTCTAAGGAACCCTGTCCAAGGAAGCGTGGAGTGTATCAAAGGATGCACGGCTTCACTCCCTTGCCGTTGTATTGCCAAATTCTTAGATAAGACCCAAAGGAGGGAAAGGTGGACTGAGTGAAACCATATGTTCGGGTTAAAGGACAAATAAGAGAGATAAATAACCAGTACCAGATGGACCTAAGCAAAAACTGAGGAAAAAATAAGGTTGGGAGGACAAGCATGACCACTGACTCCATCGGCAAGGGGGTCGGTGCACCCCATTCCCCTTCAGTGCATGCAGAACCTGTGTTCCACCTTTTCCTCATCTCTCATGGGAATGAGCTCGTGGAATACCTGCCTCTCTGTCTACTATGCTAATCAGCTGATAAAGATGAACTTAAAAGGTGACAGAAAACTTTACTGGGGGTGCACCCACCACTCAAGATAACGGGACCTGAGAAAGTGCTGGAAACTGGGTGGTGAACTGGACTCTTTTACTCTCTCTCTTTCTCTCCTTTCCTTTCCTTTATTTTCTTTCTTATAGATTTATCAATAAGAGACCACATTACTTACTACCCTTTTCCAAGTTTAAATTGCTTCTACCGCAAGTAAAACATTTTAACCTGTCATTTGGTGTCGTTTCACTTTAATTTAACCCAAGGGGTTCACAAAACCTTTACGACTTCCTGGGTTCCTCTGGGTCGGAACAGACCTTTATTTCACATGTGCTTCCCAGATTAGTTTAGTATGTCAGGGAAAGTATGTGCACATAAAATTTTCCATGCCAAAGTTTTTGGAAGTGCTGCTGAGAGATGTCGATGGAGGGCTGTGACCCAGAGCGGTCTGCGAGTTGGGGATGCACAGGATAACCCAGGCGAGCACAGACAGCCCCAGCCCCGCATCTCCCGGGGGGATAAAAGGCAGCACATAAGGTCTGCACTCCTGCTAGCCCACTGGCACCTGAGTAGGAGGAGGTAAAGAGGATGTAATGGATTCACCAGTGTGTGTAATGCAATTTTCTCATAAATACCTTCATTTATTAATTAACTTTTTTTTTTTTTTCAGGCAACTGACAATGATGTGGGCACGTATGGGAAAGTCAATTATTTTTTCAGCGATGACCCTGACCAGTAAGTGTGACTGAACCACCAGCATGAGTTTGATTCTTCAAAATCCTCTTCTAACCTCACTACAAAGGCAATTAAGGGCATTTATTACATCCTATGTGCAAGATACCCTATGAAAATCCCACTACGCTGTCTCCCAAAGAGGGGAGTTAACTTTACCACATGCCTGATGCTCAGCGTGTTTAATCGCTTTGCTAAATCAGGACCTACAGGCACCAGCGTTGCTTGGGACCGATAAATGCTTTTGCCAGCGAGTTGCTGGCCCTGGAGCATTGCATGCAACCCACTCGTGGTGTGTGGTTGGGGGAGGCATGGGGGCTGCCCAGCAGAAGGGAACTGGGAGCCTCTGAGCCCAATTTCTCTGCCTGTAGAGCAACACTGAGGGCTTCTACCCCACCACCTGCACCGAGCTCTTAAAGATGTTCTGGGACCTAATACCCCTCAGAAGAAAGCCATGAACTTTACACACCGCGGTGCTAGCTGTCAGGCTGCTGCCACCCCATCTCTCCATCTCCAGCGTGTGGTCACCAGGGCTTTCCCCCTCCTTTCTTGTCCCCTCAGTTTCTCTCTGGACAAGGACACGGGTGTAATCATCCTGACAGCTCGTCTGGACTTTGAAATCATGCAGCGCTACACCCTGACCGTCATCGCCCGGGACGGCGGCGGGGAGGAGACGACGGGGCGCGTCAGGATCAACATCCTCGACGTCAATGACAACGTCCCCACCTTCCAGAAGGAGGCATACCTGGGGGCCCTGCGGGAGAACGAGCCCTCCGTCTCCCAGGTGGTCCGGCTCCGGGTGAGGGACCGGAGCGCTCCTCCGCTCGGGATGCGTGGTGGGGACATGCGAGCGGGTTAGGTTCCTGTCCACCCCTGCTGCCGTCCTCCTGAGAAATCCTTCGTGCTTTACCGCAAAGTGCAACTGGGTGGTGCTGCAGCCGTGGGCTGCCTCCCTCCTCCTCTCCTCTCCTATACATCCCACGCCTATACAGCACCCCCAGGTCCTGGGGCTTCTCCCAGGGCAGAGGCGCTGCCTCCGTGTCGCCTTGCCCTTCTCAATAAAGTCAGCAGGCACCGAGTGGAAGGTGCTCTGTTGATGGAGCTCTACGCCTCTGCTGTGGAGGGAAGGCAGATAGGGGAGATTGTTCGCTCCTTCAGCACAAGAATAAACTTTGCTATGATGCAAAAACACTACTTTCCCTCTGTGGGGCCAGGCTGGGAGTGCTGCAGGGAGGCAGGAGTGGGGGACCCAGTGAGTCCTTCCTGGGAGGCCGGATTTGGAGGAGAGGCTGGTTTACAAGCCTCCTCGGGACCCCTGAGGAGTGCATCTTCCTCCATCACTTTTCCACTCTCCCTGCGCCCAGCCTGCACCTCCCGTCCCCTCGGCTCTCTCCCGCTGCACGACGCCAGCACAGCTCCCCTGCTCATTTACTCCCTCTGATCACGCTCTAGGCAACTGACGAGGACTCCCCTCCAAACAACCAGATCACGTACAGCATCGTGGAGGCGTCTGCCTTCCGCGAGTACTTTGACATCACGGTGTCAGAAGGGTACGGAGGTAAGCACTTGTCCTGGGATCGTGGTGCCCCTGGCAAGCAGCAGCAGCTGGGCTGCACTCGCACTCCTGCAAGCGACCATGTCAGCAAGCTTTAAAAAGCTGTTCCAGCATCTCCTCTGCTTGTCCGGACCTCCCCAGCAGCATGCTCCTTTGCAGCAGGGCTTGAGCCGAGCTGCTGCAGAGCTGTGTTTCTGTGGGCGTGTGGCTCGCTTTGGGTTACGCCTGTGCAAGGAGCTCAGTAATGCCCTGTGCTTGTGTTTTCGGGGCGCTGCCACCTCGAGCAGGCACTGTTGGCCCTGGGGAGGTGGTGTGGATGGGCCACCTGGGTCCTCCTTGGTGTGTGAACGTTCCCCTGACCGCCCCGCTTGGCATCCTTTCAGTGATCAGCGTGAACCACCCCCTGGACTACGAGCAGCTGGACAACGGGGTCATTTACCTAACTGTGATGGCCAAGGATGCTGGCAACCCACCGCTCAACAGCACCGTCCCCGTCACCATCGAGGTGTTTGTAAGTACAGCACCCAGTGATCCTGTGGTGGTTTCCCTGCAGTTACTCCATAGCAGTGACATTAATTCCCAATAACTCAGCTAGACTGTCCCACCCGGGGATTGCAATTACATGTGTCTCATAGATAAATATGTCATATATGTCTCACGTACATATGTGTCATACATATTGGTTAAAGAAACACTGTCCCTGACGTTTGGTAAAGTCTGAGTGATGGAGGGTGAGTGAGAGTGTCTCTGAGGGGGGTGTCACCACGCACAGACGGGCTGTCCTGACCCCACGCACCTCCTCCCTGTCCGCAGCCGTGCACCACGCACAGGGAAGCCACTGGAAGTGGCGTGGTAGGAGCCACAGCTAACCAGGGGGTGAGGAGCAGAGCTGGGGACAGGGTGGAGAACGACCCCCTGCCCTTGTTTTTGCCTGGGGAGGTTCACTGAGCACCTGGTGAGCCCTTCTCTCCACTCACAGGGACCTCCTGGCTGGGATGCTCTCCATGCCTAGCCAGAGGCACTCGCTGCAGCTCAGATGCAGAGGAGAGAGCTTGGCTATGCGTTAGCACATGTAGTGTCAGAAATTATCAGTCCTTGAATGAATCATAGACACTTGCTTCTTTATCTCCCAACACCGGCTGTCCTGGCTGGGCTATGGGCTTTGCCATGCATCTCACGCACCGGCATAGGTGCAAACCCCTCGAGGAGGGGTAGCTGCTGGGAGAAGTAAAGCATCGCAGCATTCCCTGGGCAGATTAGATCGGATGTCACTTTGAGGCACGTTGTGGTTTGAAGACGTCTGTTGGGAGGTATCAGCAGTGGAGACAGTTTGCTTGATAACCCGTCAGTCTCGCAGTGATGGGATCTAAGCCAGGCTGGTGGCAGTGTCAGTCTGGGAAGGCGAAGATGATGAAGTCCACGGTGCCAGGATGGGAATGAAGTCTTATGAGCAGGCCTCTCCTCCAGCTCCCTCACTGTGCTCAGGAGAGGGGGAATAAGGCAGTGCTGAGGGGGGTTAGTAGTGGCTAAATACATCTTTCCCACACTGTGCTATAGACAGCATAAACACCTCTTTCCAAAGACCACACTTCAGTGGGTCATCTCCTCCGGGTTGAGTCTGCACACTGGTGGGTTTTAAGTAGCTGTCACTTTTCCCACTCTCAGCCAAAGGGCTTTTCTCTCAACTGGAAAAAGACAGGGAAAAAAAAAGGCAGAAAATAGGAAGAAAATGAGGAGGAGAAAATTTCACGACAGCACTTGAGGAACAAGAGCCGTGCAAAGGCAGAATGAGAGCGAGTGTGGAGGGAGGTAATTTTTTTTCATCCTTTGGTTGTTGGTTTTTAATAAAGAAGTCAAACTCGCCTTGTAGATTTCCCATTAGGGGACAATACGCTTTTGTAGAGGGAGCTGCCGAATCAGAACTAATAGCGCGCGCGCGCGCGCCATGCCAGGATCCGGGGAAATATCACCGCTAATAAGTTTCTGCCTCGCTCCCTGCCACTGACGCCCGATCGGGGCGACGAGCCAGCGACTTATAGCATGCGTCTGTCTGGAAGAAAAGGGGGGTTGTGTGCTTAGTGCGAGCAGCTGTGGTTCTCGGCACCCCTGCAGGTGATATGGTAGCTGTCTGAGGGTGAGGATGTAGGGAGGAAGGCTGAGGGTCAGGGGAACGTGGGGAGCTGTTTGCTTAGCTGGATGGCCTCTCCCATGGGAGGGGAGGAAGCGGTGCCAGCTCCTGCCTGGCATCGCTGCGGGTGCTGCGGGAGGCACGCGGGAGGTTTGCAGCAGGGAGCTTTGGGGTGGGAAATGTCCTTCTCAAGTAGAAAAGCCACATGCCGCCCGGCGGGCAGGTGGATGCCAGCTCCAGCCAGATGGAAAGCCGGCCAGGAGCATGGCCCTGCAGCCCCGAGAGCTGGCTTGCCGGGCCGTGGCGGTGCTGAGCATGGCCTGATGAACTCAGGACCACTAACGGAACGGCGTGACGTCTGCTCCGGCTTGCGTCCATCCAGCCTGAACCACGGCGCAGCTTGCCCAGGTCCAGCTGCAGGTGGCATGTGGATGCGTGCTCGGCCTCTCCACTTCCTTTGCCTTTAACCTGCCCAGACCTCCAGGGTTTGCCCTGGGGTGATGTCCCCAACCCGGCTCTGTGAGGAGGAGGAGGGATGGTGAGGACAGCACCCCGGGGCATCCGGCAATTTCCTTACTACCCTCGGAGGAGGTGTGATGAAAGCTGAGTGATGCAAAGGCTGATTAAAGACCACCTGCTTCCAGCAACAAGAGCAGAGGAGGTAATTTAATTGCAGTACGATGGGCATCGTTGGCATGTGAAATTGCCTCAAATATCAGTTCAGTGGCAGCAGGAGCAGCTGAGCCTGCAGGTCCATCAGCAGCCTCCAGGTAGAAAACATCTGCAGAGCAGCCCCAGGGAAGCAGCGAAGTCCATAACGGTGTTTTAATGTCCTGGTAGCTCCCTCCTTCCCTCCATGAGCGGTTGGGTTTGATTCATTTAAGGCAGATTCTTAACAATGTTTAAACAGTATTTAAAGCCCCCCTGGGGGAGCTTTAAACTTGTCCGAAATCTGTTTGGAGGGATGTTTCGAGCAATTGCTCCTGCCTGGTTTCACCAGGCTGGCCGTAGTCGCTGGCAGAGACAGTCTTGGAGGGAACATGTTATGCAAACCAGCTTCCTCCCCTGAAAATGCTGTAGCTGCTTGGTCTGCAAACACCTCCAGCATTCCTCCACTTAAGCAAAGGCAGCAAAAGCTGAGCAGCTGCCCTGGCCAGCCCAGTTTGCCTGGTGGCATCATGGCCGAGGTGACCTGGAGTGCTGAGCCACTGGACAATGGGACGATGAGATAGTCAGTATTGCCTCACTGTCTGGCTCAGCAAAATCACTGGCAGCTGACTTACTTTAACTTCAGCTGTTTCTGCAGTGAATCTGGGTACTCACACCTCCGGTGCCTTGCCCGTAAGGCCAGCTTCCCCACGCTGATGCCTTGAGCTGGTCACGTTTTTGAGATGCAGTTGGGCAGGAGCATGCCAGTACCAGGCTTTTGTGGCTGCTTGACCATCTTGCCTTTCTCCCAACCAGCCTTTCAACCTTCTTTTGTTTCAGGATGAAAACGACAACCCCCCCACGTTCAGCAAGCCCTCCTATATGATAACTGTCGTGGAGGACATTATGGCAGGTACGGAGCATGCCCCTGTTCCTTCTTCAGGCTATCAGAAGGGCCCGGGGTGGGGTCTCACAGGCAGAACTGGGTTGGTGATGGCTTTTGGGGGAGGCAAAAGCCATAGACCTAACAGAGTTTCATAGTCATGGGACCTGGAGACTTGGCCCCGTGCAGGTGAGGGGACCCTTTGTCCAGGTGCCCCGTTTGGGGTGGGTGCAGGAGCGGTGGGTTAGGGGACAGGGCAGCTGGGGACACCCACTTTGGGCTGCAAATGCCTCATCACAGCCCTCGGTTCTGCTTCCCCCAAGGAGCCACGGTGCTGTTTCTCAATGCCACGGACTTGGACCGATCCAGGGAGTACGGGCAGGAGTCAATCATCTACTCCCTGGAGGGCTCCTCACATTTTCGGATCAATGCTCGCTCAGGTTAGCTTCTGTACACGCTCTTCCTTTCAGTTCCCTCTCCTGAATTTCCCCTGCTTTTCTCCCCCATCGTTTTTCCTCTTTCACACCCTCACTCCTTCCCCGTCCTTCCCTCCTCTCCCCCAAGCAGCCTGCTTAGGAGATACCGAGTTTAAGGGATTTGCCAGATTTCAGCCACCAGCACTCGCTCAGTCACCATGAGAGCTTTGGCAAAGGCATCGGTGGAAGCTTGGCTCCTGGTGGGACTGACACCTGAGAAAAGGCTTTGGCTGGAAGGGCTTACACTAGCTAAGGAGCTGCTGCCTGCCTTCCCTTGCCAGCATCTTTTTCAGTTCGTTACGGGCAGGAGCAAGCAAAAGGGATCACAGGCAGTCATTTCACAGGCTCCCGTGGGAAGACACAGCATGGAGTTTGCAGGAGCTTGCTGGCAAGCTGACCCTTTCCAGCATCCATCTGTTTGAAACTGCATCAGAGGAAAGGGCCCCTTCACGAAGGATCCTGTCTCTTAAGTGTCCCTTTTTTGCACCGGTGCCCCTATTCGCCATACAGCCTCTCTAATCCCTCTCATCTCCTGGGGCTACAGGAGAAATCACCACGACGACTTTGCTGGACCGAGAGACCAAAGCCGAATACATCCTCATCGTCCGGGCAGTGGATGGAGGCGTGGGCCACCACCAGAAGACAGGCATTGCTATGGTGAGTGTGGGATGGAACGACTCCCATCTTCTTGAGCCGCCGGTGCCCGCCTGGGGCTGGTACTGGGGAGGGCTGCCCAGGCACCGATGCTTCAGTTCCCCATGCTAGCAGCGTTTAATTTTAGCTGTGTGAATGGGTAAAGAGCATACGGTTGTGTCTGCCCTCTGAGCTGCCCCCACCGCTGCTCACAGCCCTTGCTGAATGACTGTCTGGGCTGTGTAGATCTTGAAATCAGGCTCCCTTTCCTGGTAAGCCATTCACCCAGGAGCCACTTGACCTTCTAGAGCTTTACATGTCCAGTTCTCCGTGCAAAGGCAGTAACGGGTGCCTATTCCACCTGCACTATGGCTCCCTTTGTTCATGCCTCTTGAGAAAATGCTTAGTTGGAGACCCTGCAGGTGCCCTTAGTTGTTCCTGATGACTACTATTCACATACTGCCTGGGTCAACGGTTTCCAACTGGTTTGTGATCTCTGGGCTCCTCAGAAGGTTCTGGTGGCCATTGTACGGCAGATCAAAACCTACTCCTTTGCCTTGCCTTTGCAGATGTCAGGGAGGGAGACCCATTGTTTGCAAAGGGTTTGTAGAAGTCTTTGGAAACATCAGGAGGTCAAAAGCCAGGGATCCATCTCTCACTAGTCATGGCACCGTGTTGGTTTGAACATTCCATAATATTTGGGTGCTCTTGTTCCTGGGACACTCGGTTGGGTTGCAGAGAGGTGTTTCACGCAACAGCGGGCGATGCAGAGAAATATTGTGGTTGTGCTGGGGAAATTCTTAAAATAATTGTCACTAATGCTGAGGGCCGTCAGGACGTGGATGATCCAGGTAGCAGACTAGAAGCTCCCTGTGGAACCTCCCAGAGGCACATGACGGCCTTGGCCGGGCGGCAGCATGGCCTGCCAGATGTTGGGTTTCCCTTTGGGGCTCCAGGTGAGATTATGTTCTCCTAGTAGCTTTATTGAAAGGCAAAACAAGTTTTTTGCAACACAGATTGCAATTAGGAAAAAAAAAAAAAAAAAGCATCGTGGTTCTTAAAAAGTTAAAGAATATTAAAACTCAGGGAGAAGTAGATGGCCAGTTAAGTTTATCTGCTGTCATTAACAAGGTTATACACCCAGGACTCAAAGCTGTTCCCTATAATCATTTTTGATGTGGGAATAAGGGTCCATTCAGGGGCTTTGCAAGGTCCCCAGGTGATGGACAAGCACCTGGGGTGCTTGGAGCAGAGGTGGGTCACCGACCTGCCCCAGGGACCACGGCGGTGCCTTAGTTGTGCCCTGGGCACATCCCTGGAGACTGCGGTGTCCAGATTCACCTCTTCTACCACGGGGTGTCACCAGCAGCTCAGCCTGGTCCGGCGGCAGGACCCCATCACTTGGGAGCAGAGAAGACCCCCAGAGAACCTCCACTGAGACACCCTGCGTGGGGGTGGCAAGCGCCGGGGCTCCCTCCTGCCTCTCCATCCCCTTCCCTCAAACCGCAGCTCTTCCCTCGGGCGCCTTTATAGACTCACAGGCTGGATTGAAATGGGTGATGTGGGGAGGTGAGAGACTCACAGACAACAGGATGCATCCGACAGGCTCTCTGCTGTCACTTAGATGCTGTTTCTGGAGATAGGTAACACTTCAGGGCACCGTCCTCTCCCGTGCTCTCTTGTCTTTGCACCTCCCATTCCCTGTTATCATACCCTCTCTCAATTTCTCATTTATTCCTTTGGGGTTTTTTGCCTTTTACCAGTCACTCAGCTTTTTCCTTCCTTTCCTGCCATGTTCCCACCGCACCCTCTCCCCCACCACCGTGACCAATTTGCATCCCCCCCCCCCACAGTGCAGTGGCTGCTTGAAAACACACCTTGTGCCCCTGCGGTTGTTTTAACTGCAGGGTAATAAGTACACCTGAGCCCAACCAAGATCAGATATGCCAAGGAGCCTTGGCTGTGAAGATGCAGGAGGTTGTTTTCCTGCAGGTTTTCCCTCCAGAGGGTGAACACGCGTTCAGTACCTGGTGCTGCTGTACACCCAGGGGGACGCATCCTGATGCAGCCTTGCTTGCTTGCTCCCCCGCAGGTCAACATCACGCTGCTGGACATCAATGACAATTATCCCACATGGAAGGATGAGCCATACTTCATTAACCTGGTGGAAATGACCCCCCCCAACTCAGACGTCACCACGGTATGTGCGAGGGAAGGCAGCTGTTGTGCTAAAAGCCTCTTCCTTTCACCCAACGAGGTCGTCACCCACTTGGCTGGAGCAGGGAGTCACCTCCGAACCGGTGTCACCTCCAGTCAAGCACCATCTTGCAGAAGTCCATTTAAAAGGCTACTCCTGAGCCTCCTTGCTGCTGCCCATCCCGTGTGTTTCTCCTCTCCGCTGGGAAATTTTTTTTTTTTCTCCAAATTGCATGGGTTTTGGCCAAATTCTCCTTTTCTTAGCCTTGCCTGTGACCTCCTTCAAGGACCTCTCTGAAAGACATTGATTTACAGCCTTTCAAGTCCCTCTGGTGAAATAAAGAGAAGGAGAGAGGGAGCTTGTACTCCATCACGCCAGGAGAAAAATGACGGGCATGAAACGGAAAATAAATGAGGGAAAAGTGAAGAGAATCCACAAACTCATATAAGGAGGAAGGCTGCAAAAGAAAAGGGCTTGGGAGGGGGAAGAAGGGTCTGGCAGCACAGCCCAAGCTAGAGCATGGTGGTTTTCTCTCTTCCGTGCAACACCAACCCTGCTGCTCGGTGCCTGCTTGAAGTCATCTTGCCTTTGACATCCCAATTAGTTGCTGGGAAATAATTATTGTGTCACCGATACGATGTAAATTCAGCTGTGGGACAAGCAGCAGGGGCTGGGGAAGTTACATGTGTAATGAAGTTGGGGGTTTTTTAATGTAAATGTCCTCTGTAATTAAAATGTCACAGGGAGAACAATAAAGCACAGAATGTCTGGCGTGGAGGAGAGCTCCACCAGTGAATTATTTCCAGCTTTTCCAATGTGGCAGCCCAAGTTCCTCAGCGTGCCTCTTTCTCCCGTTTATTTTAGCTTTTCTGAAGGGTGTTTGTTTTCTAGCTGGTTTTGTTTAAAAGGTGAAAAGCCCGTTTGCTTGCTGCATGCTCATGTCTCTCTTGCCATGCCATTACCTCCAGGGCTTGCAGGCCAATTTTAGTGAGATTTAACACCACAGTAGAGGTCTTGAGGGTACAAAATCCCTGCAAGCATCATGAAAATATACAGCTGTGTGGAGGAAGGAGGACTTCTTGCTGCTGCTGGCGGCTCAGCCTCATTATTAGACACCGGTGAATATACATGGGGACGCACTGTGAGAGCTAATTCCCCTCGCCCCGCTTTAAGTTTTGCTGTTTCTCTGTGGCAGGTGGTGGCTGTCGACCCGGACCTGGGCGAGAACGGCACGGTGGTGTACAGCATCCGACCCCCCAACAAATTCTACACCCTCAACAGCACCACGGGCAAGATCCGCACCAGCGGGGTTCTGCTGGACCGCGAGAACCCCAACCCCCAGGAGGCCCAGCTCATGCGCCGGATCGTGGTGTCGGTCACTGACTGTAAGCTCCCGCTCCTCTTTGCCGCCGTGGTTTGTCCGGCTCGGCCGTAGCTAGGAATCGCTGGGGCTCGGGTCGTGCAGGCGTCGCCCTCCTCACCCCCTCCCTGCTTTTCCCTCCCTGATGGTTTCCGCGTGTTGAGTTGAGCTTTTCTCAGCCGGATTTTTTTTTTCCTTGGTGATGAAGTTGGGTTTTTTTCCCTGTTTTGAGCATAAGTTGCAAAGATGTTTTGGAGGTTACAGGATGAGAGGAGGTTAAAACCTGCTGCTAAAACAAACCAGAAGCCTTCAAAGTGCGAGCGCAGCCATTTCTGTAGAAGCCCTGACAATGAGCCTGGGAGGCAGAAACTCCCCCTCTTCTCAGCCTGGCTCTCTCAGTATCAAGGAAAGTCGAATGAGCAGTGCGGGAAAAGAGCCGATCAAGTGGTGAAATGTATTTTTCTCTAGATAGAGTATCTTAGGGAAACTTTTTTAGGACAAAAGGGTAGAGCTATGAAGATAATTTTCTATTATCCAGCCTGTTTCCAAGAGCAAAGGAGGTACATAAACCTTACCTCTGCCCCTTTCTAATTTTGCATCACCCCTGCCCTGTGCTAAAGCCATTGCCTCATCTGTGCTGCCAGAAAGACAGAGATAACCACAGACTGGTGTTGCTCTTAATTTTCAGCTGCACGCACAGGTAGCCATCGGTCTGCCTTGTGTGCCTGCTGCCAGGGAGAGTTTTCCCCTGCCCGGGGACTGTGCTGTTAGTCCGACGGGCTGGGGTGCAAGGGCTAACACGGACAGGTCAGTGCCTCGAGGGGCCAGCCCCACCCTGCCCTCCTGTCTGCATAGGGAGCGAGGGCTTCTTTTTAGGGGGAAAGGAGTGGAAACAGCTCAAGGCATTAACCTCGAGACCCATTCCCGGCCCCCCCACAGGCGGGAGGCCACCCCTGCGAGCTACCAGCAGCGCCACGGTTTTCGTCAACCTGCTGGACCTGAACGACAACGACCCCACTTTCCAAAACCTGCCCTCCGTTGCCGAGATCTCCGAGGGCCTTCCCGCAGGCTCCTTTGTCTTCCAGGTGAGCACGTCCCGTTGCCTCCGTGCCCCACGTCCCGTCGCTGCCATCGCTTCTGCAAAGCAAGCTAGCAATACGTCCTCTCCATCCTCTAGCCATGCAAACGGGGAGGGGGGGTGGGAATGCAGAAGGAGTTGTGGCATCCCACCCCCTGTGCTTGCTCCCAGCACGGGGAGGGGGGGATGCTCTGAGGTCCCTTTTTTGAGCCCAGCATCCCCGGGGGGCAAAGAAACGCGGAAGGTTTAAGTACTGTGATTTTTATCGTCGGGGGACGAGGGGGCTCCCCCCATGCTCACCCCTTCCCTCCACTCTCCCTGCCAGGTAGTGGCCATCGACCTGGACGAGGGTCCGAACGGGCAGGTGACGTACCGCATGCAGGTGGGGATGCCCGCATGGATTTTGTCATCAACAGCACCAGCGGGCTCATCACCACCACCACCGTGCTGGACAGGGAGAGCATCGCCGAGTACTACTTGCGGGTGGTGGCCAGCGATGCCGGCGTCCCCTCCAAGAGCTCCACCAACACCCTGACCGTCAAAGGTGGGTGCTCTGACACCCCTCCCAAGCCCTTCCCAGCTGCAGACCCGCTCTGGTCCCAAAAAGATGACAAGAACACCAGGGGGGAGATGTGGTTTATATAGGAAATGCACTAAGACTCTTATTATGTGGCCTGCCTTTAATTTCATGCATTTCTATTTACTGGCTTCACACAAGCCTAGGGCTGAGGATAAGCATCATCTGGGGAAAAAAAATGAGCCTGGATTCTCCTCAGTCCTGGGTTTGGAAAAGGAAGTTTCTAGTCCTGTAATCCCAGAGCCCTCTACCATATGCCCAGGAAATACTGAGCTTATATTTAAGACCCAGATTTTCCTCTGAATGGGGATGGAAATGAGCCTGTGATTAAAGTTAGTGTTCACGCCAGTTCTGTAGGGTTTCTTCACACACGGGGTGTGATGGGTATGTATCGGAGGCAGCAAATACAGCCTGGAGCTGTGGGGATCAGTCCTTACAGCTGGTCTGCAGGCACCCAGAGGGCAGGGAGCAGCAGGCAGAGTGTTCCCCGGGATGCTGGGAGCAGTAGGCAGGTGTTTTTTGGGAGCATGGTGTAGACATCAGCCTGGCATCCGCAGGAGGGGCAGCCCTGGGCAGGCACTCAGCTCTTGCTCCTCCTTTCAGTTCTGGACGTGAACGACGAGAACCCCACCTTCTTCCCAGCCGTCTACAACGTGTCACTGCTTGAAGACGTGGCCCGGGATTTCAAAGTGGTCCGGCTCAACTGCACGGATGCTGACATTGGGCTGAATGCTGAGCTCAGCTACTTCATCCACCGGTAC